CTTTTCTAGAAGCAACCATTTATAAACGTGAGCTATTCTGTTTACTGACTACGGTTGATAATTCGAAATCAAAATACTATGAATATTATTACTTTTTTTCATTTTCGCACAGGATATGACCCCACTAAACAACCTGCAGCTTGTGGTGATCAAGTTGTGAATTTGACCATGAAGTCCACTCCGTTTTCTGTCCCCATACAGNAGGAGAATGGTTATGCATATATCAAGTGAATGCTGAAAACAATAAACGTATAACCGTGCACATTGATAGGATCAAGGTAAGCCAGTGTGCATTATTATTGTTCCCTTAACGTATATGCGAATTTCGAATCTACTGTTCCATGGTCAACCTTTACACTGCTTTGTTTATTTACCAGTTGGGCAATGATGGTGGAACATGCGATGAAGACTTTATACGCCTAGCGGACACACCGGAAGGATTGGGAAAAAATGCGACTGTATACTGCGGGACTACTCCACCAAAATCGGATTATACCTCGACAAACAATGTAGTGCACATAGTAATCGGTTCCACTACAAATCCGACCGAAAGCTATGTGACCGGATCTTATTTAATAGGTAAGACAGAATGGGGCAAAATTTGATGACCGTACGTTCAAACGAATTCAATCAATTTCAGTCAAATACTTTATTGTTTAAATTGGCGCATCGTTCCGAACACAGGACAACTTAACTTGTATTTTGTCATGTATTGAAATTATGAACTGAACAGCTGTAAACATCGAGATGGATTATATTAGGCATATGTATTCGTCACCATTTTCAGGTGATGTAGTCCTGATAATACGAACTTTATTTTAAGGAAATAAGATAAAATAAATAATTTAGGGAGAATTTATTTTCATTCAACTGAACCCTGCAAGTTTGTCATTTCGCAATTCATCATCTTCCTTTGTTCTCTTTAGACGCATCTCAATCCGTTGTTCTATTCCGAAAAGTTGTATTACTGGGGATTTGGCTCAATTGGCTGAATTCACGCTTCACTTAAATCATGGAGTTCAAACTGACAGAAACCGCGTGTTTTTCGTCATACTTTATTTACTTTAGAGTCCCCTCAGGAGTCAAACCACATAAATGTACGCTATTATTACTACATTCAGAAATAAATCAGAAATCGCATAAACCTTCCGTTTTCCTTAACTAGGCCATATTCAATAGAAAATACACAAAAGGGATTTCATATGTGCATCGCTAAAACTTATGTAATTCAAGCTCTCACAATATCATGTCAGGATGTCTCTCGATCATTTCAAACCCATTTCAAACTCGACCTCACCGGTGCTGAAAAGCCTCCCAGCGACGTCTCGATGACCACCATACAACACTGATCCCTCTACTTCCCGTTGATTTGCGGAGGACGATTGTGGGACGGGCTTCGGTCATACCAGCCTCAGTTCCCATGACATAAATATCGGTTGTTTATGTTGCTAGTACGCGTACGCCCCTGTGTGTGTATGTCCCTCCCCTCCATCGCATGATTTCGCAACACACTATGATTGCTCTATCGTCCCGTCGTCTCGTCCCTCTCACCCGCGACCCTCAACAAGTAAATACTCTATGACCGTTTCCGTGACCTGATTGGATCATATTTCCGTGATCTCCAGCGCTTCAAATTCCTCACCCCAACACGAAACTTCTTGTAATGCTCTATTTGTCACGTTCAGTTCATCAGTGTACTGATGGCACTCCTTTCAAAGGTCACTGGGCCTGTCTATGACCCACGGCTGTAAACAAGGTGTGGTTCTTCTCACGGGTTAGCTGGGCAAGCGCCAGTTCCCTGGTTGCGGCTGAACTATCCGACCGATCGATAAATGAACCCGAACGGTCGTGTGATTTTCGGGCCGGCACAGGAAGAAGATAGGTTTCGAATCCGATGCTGCCTAATTGTTGATAGATAATCACAAGAGAACGCACTCGCGGATACCACTACAGTTGGCTTAGTCAGGGATTGACGAGAACAGGGGCACGGCGATCACGGCTCATTCCGTCATCCTTTGGTCCGAAAATAGTGTCGGAATGAATGAAGCTGTCAGGCTCATCGACACGATCACGAGGCTGCGTTCGAAGCAGGTCAAGCATCGCTTACTGTGAACAGCCGAAGCGACCGCGATTCCGTTGAACCACTCCCCCCTTGTGCGTTCAAAAACAGTCAGTCAGAGCTCTGAAATTGCCATGACGCTAGCGCGACATGAAACTAGTTACCAATTCAGTCCCAAGTGGTTTATGTATCTTATACATTAAGCGTAGGCTCAAGTTGTTTAGTTGACCTTCTCGGTCGTCACATGTGCACGTACTGTTCAAGCGTCCTTGTGATGTCACTATGTGGTAAAGATTTCTCAACCTACCGTTGAAGGAGGTTGCGCGGTTGCTAACAGAGGAGGCAGAAACCTGCAAATCATTGATGTCGTCTCAAAATACGGATTGATACAATATCCGCTAAAGCGCAGCTCATTTACGAAAGAAATTTGTCAATTGTGGCTGCGTAACGTCCTCATTGATTTACCGGAGCTTGCCCGCAGGGATATTGTGATTGAATGCGACAATGTATCTTGTCACCTCGGCTTGGAGGCTGTATTTGATGAGCATGTATATTTCGGTGCCATTTTGCTGCGCCTTATTTTCCAGCGCTAGACCCAATTGAAGGTATCTGGAACGTGATCAGCAATATGGGGTCATACTTGCGGGGATCGATCTGACACCTTGTCTGCAAGAGAATGGCGGATGCAATGCATGGAGAAATGTGCTCAGACAGCTCAGACGTCTATCAACAAAGTTGTGTTAGCAAGTACGAAACAAGAGATATCTATGATTTAATCGAATGTGGTCAATCAGAAAATTCTCCTTTTTCGCAATGATAATTTCGGTCAATCGCGTGGAAAGCGGAGGTGTGGCGAGTCAGACGGTTGTGCACGCTATGCGTCATAAATGGCTGTCAGTACTAAAGTGTTTGAAAACAAAATAGTGAATAACTTGTAGTGTGGAGAGTCTAGGCGCAAAGAGTTGCAAAATAAATATTGTAACGTTTCAATCCAAACTAGGACTTCTTGTCCAACGTGAACCAAATAAATTGGATGTTGGGATTAACGTTTTCCGGGC